AGGACTAAGTTGTTCATAACTAGTCCTGTTTATTTCGATATAATGTTAGGTCTTGTTTAGGTTTTATGTCTGTCTTTGAACTTTGACTTTTAAAGTGATTTTATTCATTTTAGTTTATTCGAACTGATGATGGAGCTGGACTCCGAAACGTTTTCAATATCGATATGGTGAATTTTCTTGGCGTTTTCTTTGCTTTTAAATTCCTTTTAGGAACAGGATTTGAAGTTGGATAACTTGAACATATGAACATATATATTATTATATTTAATATATTTATCTGTTTTTAATTCATTATTGTAGGTAGTTATATTCCAATTTAATTTAAGTTAGGCATTAACAATGATCATTCAATTAGTTTCCAGACAATGTTGTTGATGAATTCCAAAAAAAGTTGCCGAATTTTCATGTACTCATAAGTTTCGAAAAGAAAGAACGAAAACGACATTTTGCCTGGGTTTGACACCAGCATTAAATCGAAAAATCAGAAATTTAGGGTTCAGTGGCTTAATTAAAACTTTTTTCCTCTACGTTTACCCTGAGAAAATTGTTTTGGTGGTTGAAAAATTCTAAATCTTGTTTTGATGAAGAGATTGCGTCGTAATTCCAAGCTGCTCCAGAGAACGAACCTCTTGAGCAATCTTGAAATGGTATTTTTGTCGAGGTCGAGGTAAGGTATTTTTGGTCCCATTGCGATTGGGAAAAATTATGCAGAAGCAGAAATTTTTCTTCCCATGAAATTAGGATAACTTTTGAGGAGAATAAATTACATTACGACGGTAAACATAATATTTTATCAGAATATTAACTTTTCTGTGTTTCAGATAAGTTCTGAAAATAAATGAGAGCTTTTAGTGTGCAGGTCTCAAAATTTTTCGATCGCTAGTGGCTGTCTATATTGATTATAGACATTCAATCTCATTATACACGTTAGCCACATATTATATAATTTATAACTATTTCATTACTATTGTTTTTTTGCGTCTGAAGTTAGGCTGGCATGAGCAGCCATTCAATGTTTTCATACATTCCGCGAGTAAAATTACTTTTAATGCTCATTGTCGTATGTTTGCTGCTGATTTAAGATTATTTGATACCATTGTCATTATGAAACACTCACCTATGTCAGTCTATTTTAATCACTTTTAAATAACTGAGAACTTTTTACACTATTTTTAAAGTTTTACTCAAGTCTGTGTACTGTCCGTATCGCAGAATTTCATGCGTCGTTATAACAGATTTATTTCATGCCGGTGCCAATGTTTTGCACCTGTCCCCCCTGCCCAGACCTCAGTCAACACCCCCGCACACAACATAGTAAAAATTCAATATAAATTTCATTCAAATCATTTGTGCAATACATTATCTACATTCCAGTAGATTTTAAATCATTATTGCATATATGATTAATGCTCGTAACAATATTTTCCATCTTTCCCCGCCGCGCCTCGCTGCCCAGACCTCAGCCAGCATCCTGTACACAACACGACGGAGTGCGAGCGTCTCATGGAGTTAGGCTGGGGCAACCGCTCGACGGGGGCGACGCTCATGAATAAGGATTCTTCTCGCTCACACTCCATCTTCACCATCTGCCTCGAGATGATGAACACTACAGGCGAAAACGACACCATTCGGTCGGGGAAACTCAACCTGGTCGATTTGGCTGGAAGTGAGCGGCAGGCCAAAACAGGTCAGTGGTTTTGAATGTTTTATTTCGAGTCTTTTTCTTTTATAAATTATATTTTGCAAGCCAGTTAGTGTTGCATTATTTATATGTCATTAATTTTGCTCAAAAAATTTTTGAGGCAATTTTCCACTGTACGGCATGTAAAAAGAAGCAAGGACTACGATGGTCTCACAAAATTTATTGATGGAAACCTTCCCTTAGAAATTGAAATTTTGTTTCTCTTATTCACGGCCAATAATTATTAAATCGTTTCACTTATCGATTCAGCGACGCTCACGAAGAAATTTGTCGTTTCTTTATTTTTTCTCAAAGTTTTCTAGGTTATTTTAATTTCTCCAAATTAATTATCGAATGTTTTTGGATGAAGCTCGGCAGTTTTCGAGATTTAATTACAAGTCGTTGATGTTTGAAGATATTGACTTGACGGCTCGTAACGAAGTTTTTACTACAAAATCACTAGGGGTGAGTTAATGAAGAAAGTTTTCTACTTTCCGAGGCTCGTGAGGAGTTCTCAAGAGCTGATCTCTGCACTATTATAATCCTTAAAAAAAATCGTCGCCTCGGATCTTCTTTCAATCAATTAATTTTTTCTTCCTTAATCGAAACTTCATTGTAAGAGCCCAAATAATTTTCAGTTGATGAGGTCTATTGTATTTTGACAATCTCTTGATAATTTTAGTTCCATGATGGAACGAAAAATTTGCTCATGAAAACACAAATATAAAGCAGGTGAACACCAGATGAATTTTTACGTGGTTATGAAATTCTTAACTCAAACTTAGTTCAAACGTTGAGATGGTTAATCAACCGTATATTTTCCTGCGTATAATATTTTATTAAAAAAATTCTGCATCGCTTGCCTGTTGATAGGGAATCGGTTGGGACAATAAGCTGTAACTACAATTTTTACGAAGCTACATAAATATAAAATAATCTCCTCCCACAGCCTTTCTATAATCCATGTTTTCGAGTTCCACGCATTTGCGTTTTTTTTCGACTTTTTGGCGCTGGAGTTTCCTAGTCTCGATATCGGTTCTGGTGACCCAGGTCCACTAACCTGATGATTCGATTTCGGAAAGAGGAAGAAGAGTCGAGTGTGTGTTTTTGTGTTTTTTTTTTTTTGAGGGAGAATGGGAACTGAGTCGCAGAAAATTTCAACAATCGTTTGAAAACGTATTGTTTCCTTTGGAATGACAGTAGAATCAGTACTTCTTACCTGCTGATCAATTAAACTCGATAGACATTTTTTTCCGACCGCAGGCAACAGAGATGATCATTTGTTTTATTTTCCTTAATTCAAGATGTGTCTTCTTTAATGAACTTCTCGCCTCTTCCATGTGTTTTATTTTAATTGATATTACCTGGGGTTCAGTGCATTTAATTTCCTTTGCACCCGCATTTCGGTGAGTATTAACGCATTTTAGTATTTTTTTCTCCTTTTGCGCTTTTTGTTAGTGCCGTTCATTATTTCTTTATGCCATTTCCTTCACATATCGTGCAATTTTGAAATGCGTTTCCATTTTCAGGAGCGACTGGTGATCGACTGAAAGAAGCAACCAAAATCAATCTCTCGCTCTCCGCTCTGGGCAACGTCATATCAGCGCTCGTCGACGGCAAGAGTAAACACATTCCGTACAGAGACTCGAATGAAATTATTTCCTTTTCAACCCGAAGGCATGAATTTTATTTTAATTCTTATTGAAACATACAAAGACATTCAAACCTACACGCCGGACAGAGACTCAAAGCTCACCAGACTTTTGCAGGTCACGAAATTATTTCCTTTTCAACCCGAAGGCATGAATTTTAATTTATTTATGATTGAAACATACAAAGACATTTAAACACACACGCCGTAACGAGACTCGAAGCTTACCAGTCTTTTGTAGGTCACTGAAATAATTTCCTTTTCAACCAGCAGGCCTGAATTTTAGTTTAATTCTGATTGAAAGATATAAAGGCATTCAAACACGCACGCCGTACAGAGATTCGAAGCTGACCAGACTTGTGCTGGTCACTGAAATTATTTCCTTTTTAACCCGAAGGCATGAATTTTACTTTATTTATGATTGAAACATACAAAGACATTCAAGCACACTCGCTGTACATTAGAGACTGGAAGCTTACACCAGATTTCTGCAGGCCACTGAAATTATTTTCTATCAATGCAACTTGAAAATGAATTTCAGAAGAATTTCAATTAGAAAAATGTTAAGGGTTAGATC